AACCACCAGGGAATGCGGAAGAATACTAAACGCTAATCAAAGATTCAGCGATGGCGGTACATGCCTTAGACACGAGACATGGAATAAATCTGGAGAATGTGGAAGTTTTAAGACCGGTATTGTGATTCGCACTACAGCGGCTGATAGCCCAGGTGGTGAACATTACCAAGCATCACAGTGTGAACATAATCGAGGGTGTTGGACTGGTAAGCGTACGGAAAGCAGTCTTAGATAAACTGAGTTGACACTGAGTTGACTGTGTGATTGTCACTGCAATTAGAATCATTAGCAAAAACAAAGGCGTGGAAATACCAACCCGACCAAAGTTGACAGAATCCCTCTTCCTCACACAGCTATTGTAGCATTAGCTCATCCACACAGATGGACGGAAAGTGAAAACGACGTTGACGAGTGATCATCGCGGGAACCGAACCAGATGGACTAGACCTTAGGTTGGACCCAAATCCATGTAGGTTTCCCATCGATCTAACACTTTGTCACTCACACTGACTTAGCTGATTGGTTCTCCTTCCGCTATAAATCTCGACCAACCTCGTAACCTGGTCATTTGGCTTGAAGAGACTTTATTAGTGCACAGTTGGTGATAGCTATAATACAAATCAGAAGGTGTATGTGTGCACTAATAGAAGTTTTTAGTATTTCTGCGACACGTATAAAAATAAATACAGTACGAGAATGGGAGCAAGTCAGAAAGGGAACTTATCGTATATGAGAGTCCCTTGGTGGAGGTCCGGACAGCGGGAACGTGTTTTTCTCCGCAGTTCGACTGCTACACGTACTCCATGGTTCTCCGTGGACTTGTGGAGAGGTGGGCGTCCTGCTCCCTACGCGCGCGCGAGTCTGTGTCCTGACTGGGTTCGGTTTCCCTTTATGTAGGTCCCAGTGAGTGTTCGTGGGCGCGTCGGTACATGAGTGGTCGCTACGCTGACTAGGCGGTGCAGACAATCGATGTCCGATGAGTCAGCTTTATGCGACGTGTGCGTATGAGAAAATAGACAAACCTCGCGATTCAGTGAGCGATTGAGTTGAACAGTCAAGTATGTGGGTGACTGGGTCGCTACAACTTTTCCCGACATGAAGCTGCCACATTGATGTGGTATTCGGACTTGAGTGCTGCAATGATCCCGCGGGTTACATACGACAAGGTGCAACCAAACAGTCCGGTGTTGCTCAGAAGGCACCTGCTGTGCGCAGCCGCATTAGGAATGAGACAGTAATGCCTTATTTTCTGTGCCCTCAGGTTAGGCCAACCCCCTGCAGCCGGGCAGTTCAGACTATTGAGTCCTGGGCTCCGGGTGGGGTCCCCAAAGAAAAGCCCTACTGTCTGCTGCTTTGTGGGTCGAATCCTTGGGTCAAAGGCTCAAGGTGGGGCACCTCAACCAAGCCCCCTTCCTCGGCCTTGGCAACCGGGAAGTATCAGTTGCCCAAGTAGTCCGGTGTCCACCGATGTCCCTCCCCAACCCCTTCCCACCACGCTAGCAAATGTCGCTGGCTCATTTGACTGTCACTTATCTGACCGAAGAGCCTTATGCTCCTCGCTGCCTATTGAACATAAACGATATAACACCCTTTTAAATCCACTAAATCCTTTCTATATAGGAGCTTTTAACGTCCATACTCTAAGTAGAATAGGCAAACAGGCAATGCTTACTGAAGCCTTATACTCCCTTAAAATTGATGTGTGATGTGTCTCCGAAACCGCATACAAGACCCAAGTGTGGTTATGCATCCCAGAACGCCAAGGATGAACTCAGCTCTTTCACATTTCTCCCTCTGTTTGTCCTATGATCAGAAGTGATGACTCTTCGAATATATGGCGTCGGAGTTGCACTCAGCCTCACAGCTAAACGCGCTTCGCTGTATTGGATCCCAGTGAACAGTCGTCTCTGCGCTGTTCGGTTATTCAGCTCAATCAAGCTCAATGTCTCTCGTCATGAAAAACGGTGCCTATCTTTATTGTCGGCTTATGCCCCGATGGACTGCAGTTCTGATGCTGAGGAAGATATTTTCTACCGGTAGCTATCCGGGCTCATTCGTCAAACAAAAAGCATTCTGATTCATGAAGGCGGTTTGAATGCTGGAGTAGGTCGTCTAATCTCACTGGAATCACATGTGGGTGGTCGCTTCGGAGTCGATGTTCGCCGCACAGACAACGGTGATAGAATCCTTCAGCTGTGTGCTGCTCATGAACCGTTTCTGGCAAGTACGAGGTTTCAACATAAACGTTCGCATCGCGTAACGTGGCGACCACCAACTGCAAATCAACCGTGGGCCCAGTTGGACCACGTGGACATCAGCCACCGATGGAGAGCTAAAATTTAAGACTGCCGTTCCTTCTGGGGCACACCACTTGTTCCGATCCCGCCATGGTGTATGCACGCCTGACGGTTCGTTTCCCTTCAGACCCTCTCAAGTTAGCGAGAAGCATGCCAATCCACTGTCTTCGAAGAATTACCATAGCTCAACAGTATCGACCTGAGCTAGCTCAACAACTCTCCACAGTAAAACAATACTGTGGTGGCAGTGAGCATGTGGATGAAGCGTGGCAAAATGTGAAAGGAGCTATGCTGGCGGCGTTCAGTGCTGCCTGTCCAACTTCTCCAAGTCGACCACAAGACCACTGGATGTCGTCGAGATTGCTATCCATGATTGATACCAGGAAAGTCATACCAGCAGGCAACGAGTATGACGGTGCCTGAAAATCCTTCAGACGCCAATTAAAGAAGTGTCTAAGGAAAGACCGAGAGCTCTGGTAGACATCGAAATCTCAGAAGATGAAGAAGGCTTTTGTTACAGGAAAAAGCCGACCTATATCAATTAACACGACCGGCTGGCCCTAGGAAAGCAACAATCAGCGAAACAACAAGTGAAAAAGATGGCTCATTGATTCACTCGCAAAAACGTCGACTGGAAAGATAAGCCGAGCACTTCGGAGAACAGGTCAGCTGGCCTCCTGCAACACAGCCTGTGGAGATGGTGCATACGGTCCAATGGAATGTAAACCTTGATCGTCCGTCGGAAGAAGAAATAAGGTACGAACTATCCTCACTGAAACGTGAGAAGGCACTGGAACCGGACGGTCTGTATCCAACCCTCTTCAAAGAAGACGGGGAACCCCTGGTGACCAACCTGACAAGGCTTATTGGTGTTATGTGGAACGAAGAGAAGATGCCTGCAGAATGGGGGATGTCGACAGTTGCTCCTCTCTTCAAAAAGAGTACGCGGACGCTGTGTGAAAGCCACTATGGCATCAACCTGTTAACTGTTGCATCGACGGTGCTCTCTGGCCTTATCCTTCGAAGGTTGACTGAACACAGGGAGAGAGATCCGTGAAAACCAAGCTGGGTTCCGTCCTGCAAGAGGATCTATCGATCATATATTCACCTTCCGACAGGCTCTTGAACAGCAACAAGGCTTCCAGAAATCAACAATGGTTGTGTTTCTTGATTCGGAAGCTGCCCTTGACTCTGTGGACCGCCGGGCACTATGGCATCGTCAGTAGAACAGAGGCGTCCCTCATAAATTCTTGACCCTCCTTAAGACGATGTGCGCCAACTCCTACGGCCTTGTGAAGGTCTACAGGAAGCTGTTATCTGAGTTCACGTCAAGTCGTGTCAGACAGGGCTGTCTTCTTTCACCTTTCCTCTTCGACTTCGTCATTGATGCGACCGTGAAAGAATCACTATCAGGCTCTAGTGCATGTGGGGTCGAAATGCTCCCGGGACGTGCGCTCACAGGTATCAAGTACACAGACTACATAGCTCTCCTTGGATCTGACCCCGTGGTAATGCAAACAATATTAAATAATCTAAATAATTCCGCCTCAAGGTTTGGCATGCGCTTCACACCTGCAAAGTGTAAAGTGCTACTGCAAGACTGGGTGGGCTCGAGCCTCAGCCTCATGCTTGCGGATGAACTGATTTAGGTAGTAGACAAATTTGTTTACCTTGGCAGATGTATCGATCCCCGTGGTCTTGCGAAAGAGCAGCTCCTGGGAACCTGTTTCCCCTGTGGCGTAGGCGTGACACAAGCTTCTCTCCCGAGGGTCGAGTTTACAATGCTGCGGTGTGATCCATATTGCTATACGGGCCAGAAACGTGGCCGCTGCGCCTTGAGGACGCCAAAAACTTTCAGTGTTTGACCATCGATGTCTTCGGAGAATTGCCCGAGTCTGGTAGGAACACCGGATGAACAGTCCTGAAGTACGTCGAATGGCATTCGGAAGAAATAACTCATCCTCGATAGATGAACTGATCACACCGCATAAGTATCGCTGGCTTGGTCACGTGTTGCGCATGCTAGTCGACCGACTTCCTCGGGGGGTTCTTTTTGCACAACCACGTGAAGGGTGGAAACGAAACAGAAGCGGTCAAATAATGACTTGGCAGCGAAGCCATTACCAGCAAACTCAGCTGCGCTGGTCATTACCGTCTTCCTGGATAGGGACCCCGCGACGGGCCACATCAATGGTTAGAGACATTGTCAGACGGCTTAGTCGCGCCCTCAGTGGCGATCGTGCATGCAAGCTATTGCCTCCAAGGCATAGCTCCCTTTCCAATTCCCCCACTTAGCACTCCACTGACAGTGCTCTAGCTACGCACCAATTTATCAGATCACGCCTCCAGTGCGCAACTGCCTATCCAACCTGCCCAAATCACCGGTGAACGAAGCTGTGGCAGCTACAACATCCGTACGACAAGTATGCGGTTGTTACAGCTGACAGTGATGATGATGATGATGATGATGATGACGAAGCCATTGTGCCCAGCAGTAAGTCTGCCGATTGTTACCAAACCTTTCCGAAAACGATCACTACTCAATCGGTTCCAAGTGTTTTTCATCTGTTTGAAATATCTTTGTTGTTATTTTGCGTTTGTTGTTTTTGTGGCACTAGACCTCAATTTGTGGCGATAGTGCAGCTCCGGGAGCTTGAAGCAGACGAATAATAGAAGTTATTTTGTTTTAGGCGGTCATGTAATATGCTCGTCCAACAGCGTTATAATTTTGAGGAAGAGCGTGACGTTAACCTTCTGGCCAATGATCTGAGTGACTG